TTTTTCAGGGAAAGACTCTTATTTTACATTGTAGATGTCAACTATGAATTGTTTTTTCAAAAATTCAAATAAAATAATCTTCTAGAATCTGCAGACTTGTTACCATTTAAAATGTATATTAAAGCACTGTTTAAAATATTCCTAGGTACTGGTTAAGAAAATGATTTTATAGAAAATATACACTTACAGTGCCATTTCAAACTTTCAGGGAAAGACTCTTATTTTACATTGTAGATGTCAACTATGAATTGTTTTTTCAAAAATTCAAATAAAATAATCTTCTAGAATCTGCAGACTTGTTACCATTTAAAATGTATATTAAAGCACTGTTTAAAATATTCCTAGGTACTGGTTAAGAAAATGATTTTATAGAAAATATACACTTACAGTGCCATTTCAAACTGCTCAAGCCACTTTTTCTTCAAATCTTTAGTTTTGCAATAAAATTCCAACCCATTTTGTCCTTGTATGTGGATGAGGTAGAAGCCATAAGACCACTGTGCAAACGATATGGTAATTCACTAGTTAACAAATGTAATATTCAGGAAGAAAGAAGACAATATTTTTATATTCATCCTATAACACTAACCCCAAGAGGTTGGAAAAACAGAGCTTATACTATTTTGCACCTCTGTTCAGTTTAATAATGGCTCATAGTTTTTCATTACATCAAAAATTAACATAGTTGAAACCCTTTAATAGTCATCTACTTTAAACCACAATGTTCAGTGCGTTTCTGTTACTATATGGCTTTGAAATAAATTATTACACAAATTGCTGGAGTGTGCTTGCAGAAAATTTTATATAGTCAAGATCTACAGATTTCAAATCTTTAATATAGTGGCATATACCTTTTTATTTTCTTTATCTGTGGTGGGATTATTTGTGATTCTGTATTTCTGAAGATCTATTATTTCCTTCATTTCATAATTATCACCTCGCCGTTTGCACACAATTACTGCTAGATCAAATAAGAAGATATGCCTATGAAAACATAATATAAAAGGGTTAAAAAAACTTCATCAGTATGCCAGTATACTAATGCTTTTAAAAATAATATACTATCATATAAAACATTGCGTGGAGCACTTATGATTTTGAAAGTTAGCAATTGAATTACTGCGTAACAAAACATAAGCCACTTAAAATACTTTTACAAGAGGTGCACAGGGATTTTGATGTTAATGTAATGGCTGACTTCCCATGAACCACTTTGAAATTTACTTCCTTTACATTAATGTCAATAGGTACTATGCATGTACAATGAAAGTAGGAAGTACGCACAAGAATTCCTGAACTAACACCATATTTGAACAGGCTATGCTATGCTGTATTTTACCAGGATTTGTTGAATACAAATTCTGCCTTTAACAACCCAAGTATCTATGTTCTCACCTGTCTTGTCTTGCACGTTTGTCTAATGTAGTCATCTTTATTTCACCATCACCTTGTGGTCTTCCATACGTTAAGAGAGAATGGTTCTAAAAACAAAAACATATCTATATTTAACATATATATGCCAGCAGAAGAATTAAGATAACGTGGCATTCAAGTGTCAGTATGGTCAACAAAGCCAGATTCTACAAGAGTGAAAGGAAACTTACCACCTTTTGGTCCTACTAAGAACGATAAGACATAAATAAACCCCTTTTATTCTCTAGAGTGTCACTCACCAAGAGATTTTGGGCACTGTGCAACAAAACTGATTTACCCGAGTGCATCTAAGAAAATGGAGAGGAAGTTACTGTGTACAGATTTCATTCCAGGCCAGCCAAAAGAACACCACATACACATATCTGAATTTTACCCATGCTTCTAGTATAATACAAGATGGTAAGAAGCAGCAGATATCAGTAAAGTAGAACAATGGTGAAAAGCAGAGATAAACAAGGATATAAATAGAGCCTATTACATACCACATTCTCTATAGATAACTGAAACTGTTTAATTTCACGGAGGGTTTCATTATCTCTCTTCACTTCATTTACATATTGAGCCAAGTCCTGAAGGACAGAAAAAAAGAAGGGGGAATATTTCTGTGAGAAAAATGTCAATGCATTTTTATGTAACTGTATTTATCATCCTTATTTTGCCTAAAATTACACAATAAGACTGTTTTAAAAGTTATTTTAAGTGTTCAGAATGTGCTGATATACCTACCTAAGTATGCAAGTTAAAAAAACAGTTCTAGAACAGCTGGACAGAAAACAGTGTTCTCATCTGTAACATTTTTGTAAATTCTAAACATTTTCACATTCTGCACTGAGAGGAAACCTAGAACTTTGGAATTTTTTTGAAGAAAAAAAAAAAAGACTCCCAAAAAAGCCAACAGTCCAGTGGTGAGAGAAAGCAGGCAGGATATCAAAGAGTCAAGTTCAAGGCCCTGCTTCAGTAGATATTTAATTATTTAAACGAAGTGGAAGAGTTCTAATAGGAGAGACTGAGCGTGACCCACCCCAAATCAGCTAGAAACAAAGAAGCACTGCTATCAGCTGGGCTAAAAAAATTAACAGGCAAATAAGATCATTGCCACCTACAAGAACCAGTATTTAAGTTAAAGGTAGTTTGCTCCAGCCTGGTGGAATTTCTCTTTCAGTCAGGATACGTCTACACTGCACAGCTATTTCAGGATAACAGAGGTATCCCAAAATAGCTACCCCACGTCTTCACAAGCCGCCCATTATTTAAAAATATTTTTTGAAATAACGGGCATGCTATGTCAGCATCCTGGTAACCCTCATTCCACTAGGGTTAAGGGATGTCTCGAAATAGCATATTATTTCAAAATTTGGCACTGTGTAGATACACCAAATTTCAAAATAAGCTCATTCAAAATAGATTCAAAACCAGATACGCAATTTGCGTAGCACAATTTATGCATCTCATTTCAAGTTTAGGGTGCTGTGTAGACGCACCCTCAGGGAATAGGATATGTCCTTCAGTCTTGACATTTGCACATAATTGCAGAGATCTGATGACAACCAGACCTGGGTAAAAAAATTTAACCCAGTTGAGGTTCTAATTGCTCATATGTGCAGTAATATGGGCTAGATTTAACAGGGTGCCCAAATATCTACAACTTCAAGACCCAGGCATACAGTGAGAAGGCAGCAATGCAAATATAGCAAAAAAGAAGGTATATTATAGCAGACCAACAGCCATATTAATTCTCAGTTCCCATGCATAATAATGGGTCTAGCTGACACTGGAAAATTAGTCTCTTACAACTATAATGTTGGAATGTGGGAAATGTTAAGGTACATTTTGATCCTAAGACATGGACCAGAATATCTTCTGTATTTGTGCATTAAATGTGCTAGTAAATTAGCTGCTTATCTTTTTCTATTAAACAGAAGGTGTTTATCCTTATTTGTATAGCCTCAACAGTCTATAATCTGTAATATCAAAGAGCAAAAAATAATAGAAAATATCAGCTAAATGGAACAATCATCCAATATATTAACCAAGAGAAGGATAGCGAGGGAAAAGAGAACCAGAACCATAATTGAACTTAATGCACAGCATCAGAAGAAAAGGAAACCGACAGAGTACAGCTATTTGCAGAGGGAATTGTAGACTGCAGAAAGATGAAGCACCAAACATGCAATGAGATACTGCTACTTTAAAGCATTTGCTTGTGCCATTTGCAATAGCATATGCAGTAACGGTCACTAGGAGAGATATTAATGCTTTCTAAGCCATGGCAAGAAAGGTATTACTTGGATATAAGTTGTGAAGAAAGAGAATTGCGTTTATCTCGCTAAGAAACCATTATCCAAAATCTGAGGTGACCTGCAGCAATGAAATTTTTACTACATTTTGTAAAATGCCAGTAAAAGTGGGAATGGCACATTTTTTTCCCAAACGGTTAGGAGGATGGAAACTATGGGACAGAATGTTAAAGTTGGAATGTTAAAAGTAAATAGAAACCAGTCATCTCTACTTCATATCATTTAAAACCTACTGAATCAGTTACCAAAAGCCTTTAGCAATATATTTGATTTAGCCTACTTACAGGAAGGTTTGTGGCTAGTTAACAAATATTTGCTGGATCTATCATGAATTGCAAGACCTCCTTCAGCAGAAAATATATTATGAACTTCACCACTGCATTCCAGTGTGTGCTGAAAAATGCCCCCAACCATTTTAACAGGTAGTGAGGATGTAAACATCTATCTACCGTGTCACACTTACCTTCATTGCATCGAGTGCCAGCTTCAGGTTTTCCTTCTCAGCTGGGTCAGTAGTGTGCTTCACCAATTCCTATTTGGCAAAATGCAGGAATATTTCTTAAGACAACTGCTCACTCAGCCAGTTACCAATCAGTTTACATATTTATCACTGAAATAAAATGATTACTGCACAGTGGTTACTCTTAAAATTTGTGACTTTTGCCTTAAATGGATAACAGCCCTATAATTTACTTTTTTCTCTATTATATCTACTATAAATTTGAGAGAGTGAGTTTGTCCGTGAGCAAGCGAGAGAATCCGTCTGTTTGTTCGTCTGTTTGTTCAAGAACTCCTCCTAAACGGTAAGAGCTAGGATCAACCAATTTTGTATGCAGCTTCCTCTTATCCCAACTTAAAGCAAGGTCAGAGTTTGGAGAAGCTCCTTACCCCCAACACATACAGGAGAGCATAAAACCATACTGAAAAGAGATAGAATGACTAGGCAGATGAAAGAGGCTGACTAGGCACGTGACCCTTCACCTCCTTCCCCTGATCTGGTAATGTCCCAGCCCTCAGATTCCCACTCCCCTCAGACACCCTGGGGCATCACATCCCATCCCCACCCCCATTTGTACGGGAACATTGATGACAGTTCCCCTTCATCAAGGAGTGAAGGCGAAGTGCACCCTTTACTCCATTCCTCAGTCTAGCTGGGGAGCACAAGGGGCAGACAAACCAGGACTTGCCCCAGCCAGGAGAAATGCACGTTTTTCCCAGCTGTGTCCACTGGAGCTGCAGCAGCCTTGGAGAGGTGCTTCTCACCTGGCCCCAAGCTGCTGCAGTGAGAAAGGGCTGGGGTAGTCCTCTCTCCCTGGGGAAGCCTGCATACTGAACCCGCATCTCCAGCCCCACCCAAGAACAATGATTGAAATGAAATAAAATAAAATAAAAAATAATTAAGGATCCGAGCAAAACCAGGTAAATCTTCTAGTTCCCTATATTTATAATGGTGCACAAATTAGGAATTACCACAAATAGCTAACTGGTAAGTATTATGTGTGAGCACTGTCCTTCCTAAATATTAGTAATATTTGACAATAAACAGTCAGTAAAAGTTAATTCTATGTTTGTAACAATTAAGCTTAGCAGTCAGATCCTGACTATGTGTATGCTGAAAGCCCAGGCAAACCAATATTAGATAATTTTCATGTTACCAACAGTAACATGACTAGTCAAAACTTCAAAATGTGAGTTTGTTTGCAAAGAGGAAGTAGGAATAGATGCTGAAAAAATCTTCTGCTAAAATATGTGACTTAGCTAAATATTCTTGAAATATCTGCATATACTGTCAAGATATGTAATCCAAAATCAGGTTTATAAAATTGTATAGAAATGTAGCTCATCTTCTACTTAAGAGTAGTGACAATGCCATTATGCTATTTGATATACAAAAAGATGCATATAGCCATCTAAAATCTAGAAAAATTAACAGGTTAGTTAAAAGTAAAAGAAAAAAGAGAGACACCCCCAAGTTATGTTTTTCTGACTGCATTTTAAGAAGAGGACCATATGTTGCATCCAAAAATAATATCTTGCTAAAATTCTATAAATTGGTGGAAATAGGTGCAGTTTTTCTAGCAATTTTGTGGATATTTTGCTCCTGAAAGGACTGTAATATATTTTGACACCCCATTACATAACTGATTGTGGTTTTATAATGCCTCCCATTTTAAAACACTATGAGTGACAATCTTTCATATCATTTTTTTCATAATATACAATTCATTATATTGCCTTGGTTCAAGTCTCAAATATTTTTTTTAAAAGTGGTCCTGTTTTGGTGGGTTTTTTTCCCCGATTTTCTGTTGATGACCTGCATTTATATAGATATATTTGAAGAAATGTAATGTGGTAGGTCTACACAAGCACTGCAGAGTCAAAATTATGCTTCATATACAAGTAGTAACTCTTTTTAAAATGACATTTAACAAGCATCAGCAGGGCTGACGATCTAATACAGTAATATATTTCTTTGCTGCTGAACTAATGAGTCTCCTGGAACAGCTATCAAATTATATTTATAAGACTCACCATCCTCATTATACAGGACTAACTGTGGAAGCCAAGAGCTTTGTGGGTTATAATAAGAAGCATTTCAAAATAAATATGGTTTTATTATAATTTACTATAGCAGGAAAGTATCTTATGGAATGCCAGAGTTTTGTTCAAGCTTAGTCTTTTGCGGGTAGTGGTCTACATTACAAAACCACCACTCTCATAGTCTGCCATAATTATCTTTTACAGAAGCTATTAAATGAAGAGGCTCATATACTAGGGAAGTGACTGTTCTTCTCAGATGTGCTTCAACTTGTGGAAAGACCACCACAGAGGAGCCTGAATTACACCGTATCTGACTTCCAGACAGATTAGTTGCAAGCCAAAGCCACATAACCATCAGTCCTCACTGAACCCTCATTAGAACAATCCCTGATGATAACCCATTTCAGCTTTTCTCTTAAACACTTTAAACTTCAAAAATAAAGTACCTGAAGCAGCAGATGATATTTTAGTACTCGTTGCATAGGAACCACTAGAAGATCCCGCAGAGTAAATTTCCCATTATTGGCCCTCTTGGAACATTCCTAGTTTTCAAAAATTAAAGATTCAACTGTGATTTTTGTAAACATTTTGTAATTTCAAACACACTCCTAATTTTTTTAAGTAAACATATAAGTTTGCTTGATCACCTAGATATTAGGAAAAAATTATCTCCATAGTCATGTGTGCTGGACCAAATCTATGGCTCAGAACACCCATGAATTTTGAGATATTCAAGATCTGGATCCAGAACCAGATCTCATTCTTCAAGTATTCAGATAGAAGGCGGAGAAGTGTGGTATCATATATATAGTAGCCCAGTGTCTGTGCGTGTATACGTCTGTGCGTGTATCCTCCTGGCTGTGTACGTCAGCGCCCCGCCCTCCTTCCCCTCGCTCCGTGGCGGTGCGGGCCGCACGGCCCCCCCGGACACCTCCCCCCCCCAGCGCTGCTTCCCTCTCCCCTTCCTCCGGGCCCCCCCATCCTCCCCTCCAGCCCCACAGCCCCAAACCTCCCCAGCTGCCCAGCCCCGCCCCCTTCCCCTCCCTTCATGGAGTGCTGCGCTGCTCCCAGCTGACTGATTC